CTGTTGGCCGTAACACCGACATAGAGAAAAAAATTCCGGTGCCGGATTACAGAGCGCCTACTGTATATACCTATCTAATAATAGAGTATGTATCTAAAAAAATAGTTTTTTTTTAAATAGAATAAGGGTGATAAACGAGCATACAGTCCACCTGATGGTAAGTGGTTGCTGTTGCCCATAGACATCTAATAGCTTAATATAGTTCTAGTTTGCGAATTCAAATGCAGATGCGTTGTCAGCCGTAAGGACTAAGATAGAATGCCTCTTTTCCAGTAAAATGAGTCTCCGGTTCTCTACACTCACCATACGAAACACAGCAGCATTAAGCTGCTATTTTACGCTAGTATTCTGTGAGAGTGTGGTCCTTCCCCAGTAGAGCCGACCCATTCGTGCTACAAGTATACTTTTAATATATGTAGCTACAGAATTGCTCTACCACGTAAAAATATATCTTAATATAGACTATAATCAGTACGTTTTACTGCACACTACAGCCTGTGTATCGAGATATAATTTTTGAAATATAAACTTTAGCTTACTTGTACTTTCTTTTCGGTAATTAATAGACGTTTTAATTTTAAAAAAATTAACTTTGGAGCTTTAATTCTCCTATAGGTACATTATATCTTAGCGGAAACTTCAGTAGTTATTATGTGGAAATATTTTTTTTTTAGTTCATTGAAGTCAAATTATAATTTCTATTAAAAGTTACATTTTTGAACCTTTTGTATGGACTAAGAAATATCGCAAGCTGAAGTCAGAAACTAGAATGCCGTCTCCTTTACTATAGGGTACATGTTAAAGATAAATAAATATAGTTAAATACACAAAACTTTGTCCCCCACTTTTTTTACCAATAGAAGTGAAATAATTTTCCAAATTTATAATACCTATATATAACCTCTGATATTAAGTAAAAAAAATCATTAAAATCGGTTCACAATTAAAGAAGATAACGCGTATGACATAAACAAAAAAACGTAGTCAAATAATCACATTATCTTTTTAACAAAGAGTATATTTGTTTTATTAAAACTAGGCTCAATCTTGATCTCCATCTGGGCCCGAGGGCAAAGATGAGGTCTACGATGGGGCAAGTTTGCCCAGGATAAGTCTGTTAACACGCACCTTGAAGAGGTTAAGGTTATATGCACTCGGAAAAACAGACCCCGACAGGGCATTCCACTCATTGGCTGTGCGCATTATGAAAGTTGACTAATAGCGCTTAGTGCGAATATTTGGAATATCATCGAATGAGGGGAATTATTTTCTGCTCACCAGATGTCGCTAGTTGACACTGAGTTAAAGTTGTTGTTATACAATGTAATTTAATTGCGAAGTTGTTTTTTGATAAAAGTTTACCAGTTTCTAGAGTATTATATTAATACACAAAACAAAGTGTTAGTGGTTTGCTCTTTATTTTTTTTTGCACATTTTTAACTGTTTTTAATTTTTTCTAGTTTTATGAATATCTGTGGTTTGGTTTATTTATTTTTAATGTTATTAATATAAAATATAGCTTATAGTACAGAAAAAAACAATAACTTTTACATTTTTCGAACAAATTAACTTCCCCGCTATGAAATCTGTCTAATATTATACCTCACTTTCTAGTGGCGCCGCCCTGGTGACAGCAAAAGTCTTGGATGCCCTGATAGTACGTGCGTGCGTAAATATAAGAGAAAAGTCAGCCCTTAACTTTTTTAATAATGTTAAAATTCCAGTAAAAAAGAAAAATAAATAGCTCTTACTGAATACTTTTGATTGAAATGTAACAAAATGTTCGCTTGAAGCATTGTAAGCTCTGAAAGTAGAGATATTTGTACACATGCACATTTGCCAAGGGTAGAGATGACTATAAAAAAAAAATATTGTCTTATTTATTTAAAAATTATATGAATGGCCTATAGTTAAGAATTTTACCGACACTAGCGGCTTCGGGCGGCAGTACAGATATTGTAATGACAATAGTCAACTAAGAACCACGCAGTTACGTACATCATTGTCATCATCGTCATCATCATCATTACAGCCCTTCACAAGTCCACTGTTGAACATTGGTCTACCCCAAGGAATGCCACAAAGCACGGTCCTGAGCCACCTGCATCCATCGACTTCCTGCATGTCTCACCAGGTCGTCACTGCATCTAGTGAGGGGACGCCCTTCACTTAGTCCGCCGGTACGAGGCCGCCACTCGAAAACCTTTTTTCCCCATCGGTGGTCAGTTCTTCGAGTGATATGGCCCGCCCATTGCCACAACATATGCATCTAGAATCATTATACAACCGCAACATTGTTTAAGGTGCATATGGATGTATCCAGTCGTGAACTTTCACTAACTGATAAAGAAAGAAAGAAGAAAAATGCATGCGTGAGTACGTGTCAAGAAGATTGGAACTTACTTTGTTTCTAATTTTTAAAAAAAACATGGCTCATGTATTCATATTCTATCCTTTGAGGAAGCCGATTGATTAGATTTTACTTAAAAAATTTTAGGAAAATAAAATAGAACAACCGCTTCCAATTTATACATGGTAATGGCTCTACCAGCTATATTAATTGTATAGTTGTAGCACGAATGGGTCGGCTCGACCGGGAAAGTCCACGCTTTTTTTGGTCACACGTTGAAATTCATCACGCCGTTTAGGCTACAGAGTGTGAAATAGACGTGAATAGACGTTTTGTAATAGAGCCTCGATGCAGCTATGTTATGGCTGTATGTAAAACAGCAGTTTAATGCTGCTGTTTCCTGTGGTAAGTGTAGAGAACCGGAGAACCTTTTTGGTGGAAACGAAGCATTCCATCTTAGTCCTCAGAGGTGACAACGCATATGCATTTTGATTCTTAATCGAGGAGAAATGTAGATATCTATAGGCCGCAGCTTCCACTACCATCAGGTGGACTGTGTGCTGGTTAGTCACCCTTATTCTATAAAAAAAGACACATACATACTCTCGAAAAACACTATCCTTCTTCTGTGGCAGTCAGGTAAATATCCTTACAGAATTAACGCCTGTGCTGCACCGTGTAAGGCGTAAATATTGTTTGTTAGCTTTACCTTTCATAGTTTGAAGGGTGTTAATTATTGTTTCACGACCAACAATAATCGGATTTTGGTGTAAACTGCAGTTTTTTTTATAGGATAAGGGAGACAATCGAGCACACAGTCCACCTGATGGTAAGTGGTTGATGTAGCCCAAAGACATCTACATCTAACCTCGATTACGAATCAAAATACAGATGATTTGTTACCTACGAGGACTAAGATGAAGTGCCTTTCCAGTAAGAAGGGTCTCCGGTTCTCTACATTCATTAAACGAAACACAGCAGTGTTAAGCTGGTATTTTACGCTGGTATTCTGTGGAGCGTGGTCTTTCCCCGGTCGAGCCGATCCATTCGTGCTACAACTATACTACTAATATAGCTACATCATGGCTCTAAAACGTAAAAAATGTTGCAAAAGAATTTGTAAATAATTTGACCTTCTTCAACCTTATTTAAATTGCCGGAAATGTCACTATCGGAAATCGAACTGAAATAAATTCAAAAATCCATTCGAAACTTATTTGTTTTACTGACTACATAGGGTGGATATTTGCCATAGATGCTTCACAAGGCAACGGGTTGGGAACCATAGTTTTTTAATGATCTTGAGTCGTTATCAGAACTATGCCATCTCCTATTATATTTCCCACTGTCTCATCTTACGACTGTTATTGCATGTCACCCCTGATAACTAAGATGTAGTGCTTCGTTACCAGTACAAATGGTCTCCAGTTATCCACACTTACCATACGAAAAACAGCAGTATAAAACAGCTATTTCACGTTGGTATTTTGCGAACACGGGGTTTTTCTCCGGTCGAGCCATTACAACCATAATATAGCTCCAGGCTGGCTCCACCATGTATGAAAACTTCCTGATAAATGCTTGAAATAATTAAAAACTGCCATTGCCAAGCAGGTTGCCAAACCGAATTCCAAAATTTTATTAAAACTTATTTAAGCTTTTGTTACGCTAAGACATTACGATTTACCACATAATACCCTAGGGTCACCGCTTACTACCAGGTGGGTTTGGTTTTTTTTATAGGATAGGTTGACAAACGAGCACACAGGCCACCTGATGGTAAGTGACTGCTGTGGCCCATAGACATCTACATCTATCCTCGTTTGCGAATCAAAATGCAGATGCGTTATCACCCGTGAGGACTAAGATGGAATGCCTCTTTTCCAGTAAAAAGGGTCTCCGGTTCTCTACACTCACCATACGAAACACAGCAGTGTCAAGCTGCTATTTTACGCTGGTATTCTGTGAGAGCGTGGTCCTTCCCCGGTCGAGCCGACTCATACGTGCTGCATCTATACTACTAATATAGCTGCAGCATGGCTCTACCACGTATAATAAGTATTATTTCATTATATTAAGTAAAAAACAGTATTGATAGATTTTTAATAATTTTATTCGATCATTTTATATTTTTAATATTTTATATTATACGTTTTGAGTATTTTTTGCCTCTGAATATTTAATAATGGCGAGAACGTAAAAATATGTACGCATGTTTAATAAAATGTATCTAATCAACGTAACAAAAGATTTTAAGGGTGCGGTATGCGGGTGCCTCTAGGCTAATTACTACCTTTACACAATCCCCTAACTGGTTATCGACGCTTTTTCTAGCATACGAAATGACATTTTAATTACACCCGTACAATTTTCCCCTTCAGTCATATACTTTTTAATTTATTAATTAATAAATTAAAATATTTTTTAAGCAAAAAACATTTATAAACATTATTTTAAAATACCTAAAATGTAGCGCTTTTTAAACTTTTCAGAATTTCCAAATTTGAATGAGAAAAAGATTTTTAGTTGGTTTTAGGTTTTTTTTTCATTGCTTGCCAGTAATAATTAAAAATTTCATGTTTTTTTTTATAATCTGAAAGAACATTAACAGCAAAAAGAATATACAGTAGGTACTTGGGATAATACTAACGTTAGCTGCTCGGTGCTGGCCGGTGAATGGCGTCCATCATCCCGCACACTACCCAGCACCCCATCGGAACCACTCATGCAACACAATAAAAACGCACTGAATCACAAAAATATTCCCGCGAGAGCCCTAACACTGGACACTATAACATCATTGATTACACCACTATATTATTGTTGTCGATACCGGGAAATGGCAACGTCGTGTTGGGAATTGCGGTTGTTTCAAGAGTACACGAGGCGCGCTTTCCGAGCGGTCGCCATGATGATTTGAGGGAGTGATTCGCGCGCGCGCCAAATATGACGCTGTGTTGCAATATAAATTTTCTGCCCCTTTTCTGTGGTCATTTAATATGCTATCTTTTAAATTTTAGATCAAGTTATCTCGAAATGTAAAATCAACATTCTCAATACTTTTAATCGCTAAATTTATCGTGATATTCTTTGGATCCAGTCCAAATTCAACTGAAATGAGCTATATGCTATTACTACTTCTTTAATAAACGTTTTGTAATTGCCTTTTCTAATGTTTTTTTTTTTAAATATTTTCTTACATTGGATTATATGACAAGAACAAATTAATATTAATTTATTTTTAGGACCTTAAGGTTATTATTATATATTACCTAATAACTAACAACGCAACGGGTTTTAAATCACTACTGTACGTACTGCAACACTTTAATCTATAAACGTTTTTATTTCTATTGAAAACTAAATACTTCTAACTTTACTGAATAGGGAACTTAAATTTATAATCTGGTATCCCCACAACGCATGCGCGATGTGCAACCACTGCAATACGACGTCGTGTGATAGGAACCTATTTTTACATTTCTTTGTGAGCTAACAGGAATAATTATAGTTCCGACTTGAGATAAAGTATAACCAAATGTAGCCGTGTCCCATTGTTAATACCATTACTTCATTTTTCGAATTTAGAATAGGATCTCAATTTTCACAAACTGCAATACATCCTGCGTCACTAATGATTAGTCCGTCAGTAACCAGTATTTGTTTAAACACTTATCATACAAAATTAACTTTGAGTAAAAATTAAAAAAACAACATCAAAAAACTAAAAACAATTAAATTATTTGACATTCTGAAGTTGCTGCTATCATAGATACACATCGCATGACAATCTCAATAGCGTCTAAATTATTACCTATGGCACTCTTAAGGGTAATTTTTTACGTGGTAGAGTCAAGCTGCAGCTATATTTATAGTATAGTTGTAACACGAATGGGTCGGCTCGACCGGGAAATGACCACGCTCTCACAGAATACCAGCGTAAAATAGCAGCGTGTTTCGTATGACGAGTGTAGAGAACCGGCGACCCATTTACTGGAAAAGAGGCATTTCATCTTAGTCCTCAAGGCTGACAACGCTTCTGCATTTTAATTCGCAATCAAAGATAGTTGTAGATGTTTATGGGCCACAGCAATCACTTACCATCAGGTGGACTGCGTGCTCGTTTGTCACCCTTATCCTATAAAAAATACAATATTTAATATAACCACCCCTGAAGTCTAACCTATTTAATAAAAGACAACCATCAAAAAACATACAGTCGAAGTAAGAACCCCCCCCCCCTCTCCCACCACCCCTTTTTTTATAAATCTGCTAATAACATATTAAAATCTATACAATAATATATTACATAAAATTAATTTGGTTAATATTTAGAAGTCAGAATTTGCAAGTGTTTCTTGGAACCTAATTTATAACCACTTCCTCTCAAAATATCGAAAGTATATCCACCATGCTTCACAGAAATTTGATATTTAATGTCACTCGGGATTTTACATAGGTGCTGATACGTTCAGAGGCTCATAAACTATGGTCACATAATATCAGACCACATATTGTTTAGTAGTAACATAAAATGACGTCCTCTTCTCAACCCAATGAATAAAAAAGTTCCTTATAAGCACCCCAGTATCCCTAGTAAACAACATATTTAGTATTCTATGCAGCAATACCTATCTTATAATTCACTGTTACATTTAGGGTTCCGAGCAGCAAATATATTCCTTTAAAAATCAAGTATTAATTTGAAACATGTAGCAAGTTTTTTTTTTTGCCATCTACTAGAAATATTTTTACAGATCGAAATTTTTACCTCGAAAATACTATAATATTATTATAAAAAGATGGTAAACCTAAACTCACACGACCAACGGGCTGAGAGAGGATCAAAGCATCCACTTAATATCAGGTGGTATTTTTTTTATAGGATAAGAGTGACAAACGAGGCATACAGTCCATCTGATGGTAAGTGGTTGCTATCGCCCATAGATATCTAAATCTATCCTCGATTATGAATCTGAATCGAAATGCAGATGCGTTGTCAGCCGTGAGGACTAAGATGGAATGCCTCGTTTTTAGTAAAAAGGATATCCGGTTCTCTACACTCACCATACGAAACACAGCGGCACAAAGGTGAAACAGGGCCTCTTTTTACTGGAAACGAGGCATTCCATCTTAGTCCTCATGGGTGATGACGCATCTGCATTTTGATACGTAATCGAGTATAGGTGTAGATGTATATGGGCCACAGGATCAACTTACCATCAGGTGGACTGTATGCTCGTTTATCACTTTAACCTATCCAGACGGACTCGCAAGCAGAAAAGGAGTTCTACCACCTAATAAACTCGAAGGATCTCATTTTTTAATTATTGCTATATGAACAAGGTAAGAAAAATATCAAAATATTCTATCCATCCATCCTATCATATGGATAGGCGATGCATTCATGTATCGGCGATGTAAGAGAGTCCACTACCCTATATCATCCCGTGTTTCAAATTACAACGATTCTAAAGAAGTTTGCGCTTATATCCGCCTTATGAAGTCAGTTAGAAATTAAGTTTCGTATGGGCTTTTGAATTTAGTTAAATTCGATTTCCGCTATAGACACTTTCGACAATTTTAATCAGGTCAAAGCAAGGTCAACCACTTTGCAGCTTGACACCAAAATCCGACTATTGTACAGTAGAATAACGCAATATAAGTTAGTTTTGTGTGACAGTCGTGTAGTATTGTAATAATATCCACTACTCCATAACATCACGACGGTATCGTAAGAGGCGACAGACAAAAACTTAAACAGGACATGATCAGTAGCGTCTTCCTGATAACAAGTGAAAATAATAAAAAAAGTATACCTAGTTGCAAACCCGCTGCGCCACCTTGCGTAGCAACTCTAACAAATATCCCCTACAAAGCAATAAATGGGCGAGGCCTATATATTTACACGCGCTTCATGAAAACAATTTACTTATATAGATAGAGAAAGCATGAAAGTGGACACCTCACCACTTATCATGTAATTTGAGTACTTTATAGGATTATCAGTATAAGAGTTTTTAGCTACGACCGACTTTAGATATATGAGGGAAAGGGAGACCAAAAAAGACTGGCATTTAATTTGAATTTTAAAGTCAGGAATTTTATATGAAACAAAGAAATTTTTTTATTATTTTTTGGAACGAAGTTCTGTACCGCACGGTACGAATTTGACGGATGGGGGGGGGGGGGGGGCTAGGCGAGAAAAAGTGTAAGATTTTTCCGTCACGGTCAGTTGTATAATGCGAGTAAAATGAAATAATATCCCTCTCCCTTGCACTTTTTCTTATGTTGCCGTGAAAGAAATATTATTTTATTTTAAATGTCGCGTCGTTTTAATAGACGCTAATTATTTATTTATTTGTATTTGTTAATAAATAATATATATATAATAAATAATATATACGTTTATTAATAATAATATACTACAAAAGAAACTTCGATCCAACCGAGTGTTCCACGACACTCACGCAAGTTTTTTTTACTCTACGTTAATGTGATTTTTTAATTTTTTATTGCCACGTATAAGGAAGGATTTTAAAGATAAAGTTACATCCTAAATATGTCGCACTGCTGGGCACAGGCCTCCTCTCATTTCTGAGAGGGTTTTTTAATAGAATAAGGGTGACAAACGAGCACACAGTCCACCTGGTGGTACGAGTAAATGGTTGCTGAGGCCTATAGACATCTACATCTATCTTCGTTTTGCGAATTAAAATGCAGATGCATTGTCAGCCGTGAGGACTAAGATAGAATGCTTCTTTTTCAGTAAAATGGGTCTCCGGTTAAAAAGGTTTTAGGCCAAGGAAATGTTTTTTTTCTTTATTGCATTCCTTAAAAAGGAATACAAAAGGCGGATTTGCCTTGAGGCATTCTCTACCAGTAAACCCATGGAGTGGTGAGAATTTGGAGTAGGTGTAGCAATATAGAATAAAAACAAAATTAAAATTATAATTAACTACGTGTTGGCGAAGTTCACATGTCTTCGAAATATTTTTTTCTAATTTCTTAGACGTACAGGTTTCCTCACGATGTTTTCCTTCACCACCAAGCACGTGGTAAGTAAATCTGCCCTTAAAATTGCAATTAACAATTTCATTGCTGCCGGCGAGGATCGAACCCGTGTTGCTCGCGTACTGAGAAATTTACAGCGAGCGCATAGTCCTTGAGCTGCCACGGCTCCAGGACCAACTACACGCTTAAGGACGGATGAAAACTGAACAATAGCCTTGGTAGGCCTTAGAACGCTAATTAAAATAAAAAATATTGGTAATTCCAATAGTGCATGCCCTAAGCGCATTAAAGAAATTACGTATTTATAACATCGTAAATTTTTTAAAGTAGTTTAAATACACACAAGTTTTCACTAACAACCTTATTATTATACTTCCAATTTTCCAATAATTTTATGTCAAACTTCAATTTAAAAAAAGCTTGGAAAATCCAAAGTGCACGACTCTTAATACTCCTATGATCATCATATCGTCATTCAGTATATATGTATATATTTAAATATAAATATACTTATATATATATATATACATGCTACCTACATTTAGTACGTAGTACTATTATTTATTCTGTGCTTTTAAAATAGTGTAATAAAAATCTGTGATTATTATAATAATCAAGTATGTATGAAATTTGTGTTTTCGAATATTTTGTATTTGTACAGCGATCTTTTTGAGCCGCTGCAAACAATCGATACAGTATCCACTCACGATGGCGGTTGTCGCCGAACTGAAACTGAGTGAGGCGGTCCGTCTATTTAGTAAAATAAATTATTACAAGGCGGATAAAACACCGAAAATTTCGACATTCCGAAGTCGAAAAAAATTAATTATAACAAACAAAACATTTATATGTATGTCGGAGAATTACAATAGAGGAAATACATCAGGATAGCGTTAACCGTAAAAATAATAAAAGTGTGAGACAACGAACAGAACCACGACACTATCTTAGCACTAGTAGAATGACACCACCACACTCGTTGAATGACTTAAGCGGAATCTCTCGCGCACGGCACCTACAGTAAACTTTATACTACAGACACAAGAGGGGGTTTCTCGATATACCCTCCATTCTACCTAGATCCAACTTTTTACAACCATTTATCTCCAAAATGGTTTGCCCGTTTTCGATACGGTTCGCTGTAGAAGGTTTGTGACTCGTTGGCGATGGTTCTTAGATAGGTTTTATGGTGTTATCTCACCAGGGGGCGCTACAAAGAACATTTTGTGTGGAAACGAGTGTTCTCATTTATCTCGAAAACGGTTTGGCCGTTTTCGATGCGGTTTTCTGCAAAGAGCTTGTGACTCATTGGCGATGGTTCTTACATAGGTGTTATGGTGTTAGCTCGCCAGGGGGCGCTGCAATATAAAAAAATCACTCGTTAAAATGAATTGTAGCGAATTTTTTCCTCGAGACACTGATTTAGATGCGGTTATCGATGACTTATAACATACTATCGATCTGCCCCGCTTCGCACGGGTGATTTCTGGATTTCGTCAACAGCGCCACCTACCGGGTCTATTGTGAATCTAAACGCTCAAATCAATTTAATCACACACACAAAATTTCATCAAAATCGGTCCAGCCGTTTAGGTGGAGTTCAGTTACATACACACGAATAAATAGATAGGTATCTTAGGGACCTTCAAGAAAAGAGCCTACTCCTTTTTAAAAGGCCGGCAACGCATCTGCAATTCCCCTGGTGTTGCGGTTGTTCATGGGCGGCGGTAGTCACTTACCATCAGGTGAGCCGCATGCTCGTTTGCCCCCTCTCCTATAAAAAAAAAATAAAATAAAAAAAAAAAAACCTACTTACTATCTTAATCCAACAAATCTTAAGAAATATATATCTATGGAAATATTTATACAGCAAATGTTTTAGTGTAATAATATGTACCTAGTTCAAAATAATAATTTTACAATAAATCATAATCTAAACATAATAATATCACTGATAATTTACATAAACCCTAACACGAAAGACAACTTATCTAACGTTTCCTACTCGAACAAAAATTGTTTACACAAATTATTATTCAAACGACAAAAGCATCATACTAGAATCAATACCAAAAAACGATTTTCGCAAGACAACCATCAACGACCTGTGCCCTCACGCGTGTTCCCGTTCGAGGAGCTTGCCTCGGTAACCTCGCAGACAAAGAGTGTCACTCATAGATAAATATATATGTAGCAAGCTAGGTGTCACTAAAAGTAACTTCAGTTTATGGATAACCCGCACCCGCAGTAACCATTTCTCTATACTACTATTATAGCAAGGTAAAGTTTGGTTGGTTAAATTTTGTTTCGTTGTGAACTTCAATTATTTTAACGAATAAATACTATGTAAGTCAGAAATGTGTTTTTCCTTATCCAATTGTACATACTGGTTATATTTCGATTTAAATATAGATACAAATAGTTTTACGGAAACAAATTTAAACGAATATCTTAAAATTAAAAGATTTCGTAATTCGAAACATCACTATCAAAAAATTGTGTCGGCAGCACAGGCGTACGAGGAATAATCATAAAACGAAGTAGTACGGGAGTATAATATTTCAAAAGACAGATGTTTAGACAGTAACTTAGTTCTCTAAAAAGGTTAAAATAAAAAGCAAAATTAAAAATTTTGAAAAAACCCACGACGGATATAAAAGTTGTAATCGAAAAAGGATTAAATAAACATATTGATAAACCCCCGACCAAAAGGAAGTAAGTCACGAAAGATAAAAATAAAAAGAGTTTTTAAAAGGGTTGATTTGCCGCGGGGTTTGTCATTATAAACAACTAATTATGTCTTTCCTTAGTCCTTCCTACCTTTGTGTACCTATTAGTTTGTCGTAGCGATAGACACAGCAATAATATATAATATAGATACTACACCTATTCACCTACCTATTAGGTAATATACTTATAAATCCAAAAAAATCCGTCGGGGCTGCCCATGCCATTCTCTGCCCTGAAATGACGGCGAGTACGTAAATAAATGTAGACTTTGATATGAATTGCTGTATTTCTTAGCTTTTCTTCTAAATTGAAATAGGGAACAAAGATGGCAATGGCAGCCCCGTCGGTTTTTTTACTACAGATTTTGGCTACAGGTGTCCGTAATACAGGGTTATTTTGAAATAACCAGCCGAAGGCTCAGAATAAGTAATATAGGCAAATGATGCAGAAAAATTAGTTTTAAATTTTCATTTCATTTTTCATGTTTTTTTCATTTTTTTAAAAAAAAACGTTATTTTAAATAATCTCAAACATTCCGTCCTTTTTATCTTTTAAGTTCAAAATGCGTGGTAATGAATTATTTTATCTTACTTTACACACACATTCGTAAGGGTCGATCGGTAGGCAAAAACGTTGTGCCCATAAATCATATTAAATTATCCCTAATAATTACAAATAAAAGTAGAAGCCCCATTTACTTATATTTTAAAAAACTGCAATAAAGGTATATCATTATTTATATATTTGAACTTAAGTTTAAAATATGGCTACTCTTTGAAAAATAACCCTGTGTAACTTATATATATATTTTATAAATAAGTAAAAGTTCTCTAATAAATTCCTTTTTGTTCTACCTCGTAATTATCCCGCTACGTATCTAACTAAGGATTTCTAAGATAAACAACCATATTATATGGTAACTGGTTTTATTTTGTATTTTTTTTCCGATCTATAGGAATTATATATCTGTACATTACATATTATGTTAAATAATATATTAAAATTTAAAGTGAAAATAGAACAAAATTGAAATGATGTTATTTAAACCTTTATTCCAAAGAAATTCGAGACAAAGAGGGATTATGATTCCTTAGTTGTGGACAGTTCGGGCTTAGGTCTTTTCATAGTAGTTATTTCGGTCTCGGATTCCTTAGTTAAAGGTTCTTCTTTTCCTTCTTATTGTTCTTCTGGAGAACTTTCTTCTGAAGAGGAACTTTCTTCAGATTCCGGTTTTTTCGTTGTAGTCGTTTCGATCTCAGATTCCTTTGTTGTTGTAGGCGCGTCAGTTTCAGGTTTTAGTGTTGTGGTAGTCTCGATCTCGGGTTCCTTGGTTGTAGTTACTTCGGCTTCAGGTTCCTTGGTTGTAGTTACTTCAGGTTCAGGTTCCTTGGTTGTAGTTGCTTCGGGTTCAGGTTCTGTTTCTTTAGTTGTAGGTGCGTCGGTTTCAGGTTTTTGTGTTGTAGTCGTCTCGATCTCGGGTTCCTTGGTTGTAGTTACTTCGGCTTCAGGTTCCTTGGTTGTAGGTGCTTCCGTTTCAGATTCTTTAGTCGTGGTTGCTTCTGTCGCAGGTTCGGTGGCAGGTGCTTCGGTTTCAGGTTTCTTAGTCGTGGTTGCTTCTGTCTCAGGTTCTGTGGCAGGTGCTTCGGTTTCAGGTTCCTTAGTCGTGGTTACTTCTGTCGCAGGTTCCGTGACAGGTGCTTCGGTTTCAGGTTCCTTAGTCGTGGTTGCTTCTGTCTCAGGCTCCGTGGTAGGTGCTTCGGTTCCAGGTTCCTTAGTCGTGGTTGCTTCTGTCTCAGGTTCCGTGACGGGCGCTTCGGTTTCTGGTTCCTTGGAGGTTGTTGTCTCTGTTTCGGGCTCTTCGGTCGGAGCAGCAGTGGTCGGAGGCTCGGGCACCCAGTCAAAATTGATCCCGGTCACTTCGTAAAACCAATCATGGTAGTGACCAGGACGAATAAATCCTGTAAATTTTTTTGAATTTAATTCGATTCTAAAATGGAACGATACTTAAACAAAGTTCTACCGGTAAAGCCTAGCAAAAGTCTACCCCTGAACATAGGCCATCCCACAGATTGCCTTGTAGGCTGAATATTTGCCATAGTTGCCACATTGGGCGGTTGGATTGGCAACCGCAGTTTTTTTTTAGTTGTATAAAGACGTTCCTGTCCATATACTGTTTTTTTTTTCTGTCGTTTTTTCGCACCCACGGAACGAAAGGGAATAGTAGATATTCCGTATACTTATAGACACCGCTACTACTCGGTCGTACAGTCTTGGCTACTCTATTGTCTTTTGTTTTCAGAAATCAACTGTGCTAAGCCGGGGCGGCTCGCTAGTGCTATTATATAACCATCAATGTTTTAAGATTTTTGGTAACATTTTAAAAATAATCTTAATTTTTTGTGGCCATAAATAATTATTCAACACAATTTATATTGTCCAGAATAAATAAATATATACACCTACCTCAGGTTTAGAGGTCTTTGTCATGAAATATGTCTCTTAACAGTGGTCAGCCTATGCGTAATTTGACATTTTCTGTCATATTACATATATTTACATTTCACTTCGCATATTTTCCACCGTAACCGTAACGGTGTTACATCCTATTAACCACTGCTGTACATAAGACTTCCCTATAGATTGCCTCATAGGGAGCATATTTGCCATAGTTGCCACACTTGGCAGGTGGGTTGGCAACCACTGTTTATTTTTTATTTTTAGTCGTGTTAGGAAGTCATCTCCTGATTTGTTTCCCTCTCTCGCCCCTTAGGACACCCACGGACTGATATGGGGTAGTGGATTACAGCGTCACTACGCGGTAAATTACCATATTTTCCACGGTACTTCTTAATTAAAACAGACTCTACAATAAACCTTAGACAAATTACAAATTACTTTTTGTAAAGAGACAGAATAGGTTTATTCAAGTAATGTGTTTACGTGGTAGAGCCATGCTGCAGCTATATTAGTAGTATAATTGTAGCACGAATGGGTCGGCTTGACCGGGGAAGCACCACGCTCTCGCAAAATACCAGCGTAAAATAGCAGCTTGACACTGCTGTGTTTCGTATGGTGAGTGTAGATAACCGGAGACCCTTTGTACTGGAAACGAGGCATTCTATATTACTGCTCACGGGTGACAACGAATCTGCATTTTGATTTGTAATCGAGGATAGATGTAGATGTTTATGGGACACAGCAACCACTTACCATCAGGTGGACTGTGTGCTCGTTTGTCACCCTTATCCTTTAAAAATATGTACAATTCCTTACCAGCTGGGAAGTTAGTGTGGCAACCAGAAGCGGAGACGAAAGACGCAACTCCCACTTGAGTGAAAACACCGTCCTCGTCTACGACGACAAGAGGCCCACCGCTGTCACCCTGTCGACATAATATATTATTTTAGACATACATATCTGGCTGTTGCTAATATTCCAAAAACGGTTAATTTTTATTATTATTGACAGTTTGAAAAAATAAAAAGGTAATTCGATAACATAATTTTTTTTTATGTTTAACATAAAGAATTCTCATTATCTTGCTTGTTCACTATTTTTCCTTTTCGTCTTTGAAAGGGATCAAGAGACAACCAAGTCGCTAAGGTTGCAGAGGAGCACTTTCCGTCACTAATACCTAGTCAGGTCATAAGTATTGTCACACAGTAAAAACTTTTCTTTTAGAATGCTGGCCACAAAAAAGTTTATTGAATTCGAATTTCGAATTGTTCATGAAAATAAAACTGTATACTTTTTAGAATTTTACTCATTTTTAAATATGGAGTGGACGCTTAAAGAAGACCGTGTTGCAGTTATTGCGTTGCATCGTTGCGGTTACGCGCCAATTCAAATATTTGACATACTGAAAAATTTTAATATAACCAAAAGATTCGTTTATCGTACCATCAAACGATACAATGAAGACTCTAGTGTAGATGACAGGTCAAGAAGTGGTCGCCCTCGGTCTGTTAGGACTCCAGTAGTGATAAAAGCTGTGAAGGCGCGAATTCAAAGAAATCCCAAACGTAAGCAGAAACTGTTGACCCTTCAGATGGGGTTAAGCAGAACCACGGTGAAAAGAGTGTTAAATGAAGACTTAGGGCTTCGGGCATATCGAAGAAAAACAGGACATCGTTTGAATGCTGTCTAATGGACCTGAGACTGAAGAGATAACCGCGCTTTGTTGAAGCGGTACGTAGGAAAAAAATATCGGGAAATTCTTTTTTCGGATGAAAAAATTTTTACCGTAGAAGAGAGCTACAACAAACAAAATGATAAGGTGTACGCACACAGTAGTGAAGAAGCGAGCAACCGTATTCCGCGTGTCCAACAAGGTCATTTTCCATCCTCGCTCATGGTATAGTTGGGAGTTTCTTATTGGGGCTTAACAGAGGTACATTTTTGTGAGAAAGGTGTAAAAACGAATGCAGTTGTGTATCAAAATACAGTCCTGACGAACCTTGTGGAACCTGTTTATCATACCATGTTCAATAACAGGCACTGGGTATTCCAACAAGATTCGGCGCCAGCTCATAAAGCGAAGAGCACACAAGACTGACTGGCGGCGCGTGAAATCAACTTCATCCGGCACGAAGACTGGCCCTCTTCCAGTCCAGATTTGAATCCGTTAGATTACAAGATATGGCAACACTTGGAGGAAAAGGCGTGCTCAAAGTCTCATCCCAATTTGGAGTCACTCAAGACATCCGTGATTAAGACAGCCGCCGATATTGACATGGACCTCATTCGTGCTGCGATAGACGACTGGCCGCGCAGATTGAAGGCCTGTATTCAAAATCACGGAGGTCATTTTGAATAAACTTGAGTGTCATAAGAATCTATGTTTTGTTAAGTTCATTTTGGTATATAAATGGTCACATAATGAATAAACTTGTTTCAATTATTTTATATTAAACATGTGACAGAATTTATGACCTGACTAGGTATTATACTCCATGTGTGTGTTTACGTATGTATATAAATAAAAAGCAATTGCCGCATGTGTGAAAGATCCCATCATCAGCATCACTTGAGGTCGGTTGGACCGATTTTGATAATTTTTTTGTGTGTATTTGAGTTGATTCCTGGATAGTTTTTTTTCTAGGATTCACAATTAGACCCAGTAGGTAGCGCTGTCGTCGAGCTCCAGAAATCACCCGTGCGAAACCAAAGCGAATCGCTAGTTTTAGATAAAATTAACATTACAAATACATTTCAAATATTCGTCGTCAAATTGTCGTACGAATATACACTTCTTATATGATATATTCAATATATCTTCACGCCCAAAATTATCACTGAAATATCCATATTATTTGCTTGTAGCCATGTTGCTTCTGAAAGTGTTTTTTTAAAAATAGATGTGGCAAATTCCCACTGATCGGATATCAGAATCGATATTTAATCGGATTGCAGAAACCTTTGTTCGCACTAATCGGATGTGGAATCCGATTAAAGCTAGAGCCAGATCCAGTTTTTAACGTTTTAGAGCCACGCTTCAGCTATATTATAGTTGCAGCACGAATATGTCGGTTCGACCGAGGAAAGACTACACTCTCACAGAATACCGCCGTGAAATAGCAGCTTAATGCTGCTGTGTTACGTTTGGCAGGTGTAAAGAACCGGGGTTTAACTGATAACGTAGCATCTAAGTCCTCATGGGTCAACGCGCCTTTAGATTTAAATTCTTGATCGAGAATAGATTTAAGTGTCTATTGGGAATGGTATCCACTTACCATCAAGTGGACTACTGCTCGATTGTCACCATTTACTACTTTACCTTTTACTAGGTGCTAAAACTCCTAGGAGACCTTCGTGTAGGTATCACTCTCTTATGTATTTGTGCCGTCAAATAACAGTGCTTGCACTATTGCGTTCCGGTCTGGAGAGTATAGAAAGTCAGTATTGTTACAAGCTGTGAGGCATTCAATCATAGTCCTCAAAGGTGACGACATGTCTGTATATAAGGATGGGTAAGGGAAAAAAATTAACAATAATCGATATTTTTAACAGTATCGATATATATCGCGTGATAAATATCGATATATCGATATATCAACATTTTGCATGATGTAAGGTACAGGTATAAAGTCCAAAATTTTATATTACTGAAGGATGGCCGAAAAAAAAACGACAACCAACCACGCATGAATACTTTTGTATCTCCTTTTGTTGTTACATGTTTTGTCATTAATACAACATTTTAAAATATATCGAAATTGATACGAATTCGATACTCTAAAATAAATATCGATATATCTCTATGATTTTTTGCCCAAGCTTATCTGTATCATTCTTTGTTTGAAGTTGGCCACAGGTGTCCACGACCAAATATTATCAAATGCACTGTAACTCTGTAAGTGCATTTGTCACTTATATTTCATAAAAAAACAAAACGTTGTTCTACAAAAATAAACCTTCGATCATTTCCAGGAGGCGATTGTACGAGATACATATCGATGAAGAATATTTTGGGGCTATTTGCTGTTGGTAATTCTTGTTATGGCCTTTTTAATTTTAAATTAATTATTGGGCTTTTCCCGATAACAGCTTAAAATCCTTTCTCTTTTATCTCTTTGTAAATAACAATCTTAATCTTTTTTTAAATGATACCAATAAAAATCTTAAAAAGTCTGGTACTAAATACTTTGGATTAAAACATGTCAAACAGTAGATAGTATTGCAACTTCTGAAAATAGAGATAATAATAAAAATTTATTTTTCTGTTTTGTTTTAGTTATTTAAGACACTTGCCGCTAATTTTCACCACGCTATAGATTGACTGGCAGCAAGAGCTGACTGGCATTAAGTCCATAGTTTTTAACCGTTATGATTAGTACAATAAGGTTTTGTCCACACAGCAGCATAACAGTGTATATGTTGTTGTGTGGATCTATCTTACAACTGTTTGAATTTTTCTGTTGTTTGATTTTTTTTTAATGTATTTTTAATAACCCTAGCTATAATTTTAATTTGTTATAACCTCATAAGGTTATAATAAATAAATAAATAAATAATAAAAATAAATAATCTGCAGTCACGCACTTGCCTAGAGTAGTGATAAACATAAAATATGCATTTTTATTATCTTATTAATTTTTTATCAAATTTATACTCTATTGTCATATACATATACCTGACAAGTAGATTGGCTGGAGACATTGTAAGAAGCAGCACAGATAGTGGAGGGAGCGATGATAGAGCTACCACCAAATGCGTTCCTGCAGTACCAGTTTGGCACGCCCCGAAGATACACCCAGTTCAAGTTTTCGGGTGACATGCCTGAAAATATAAAAAAAAATATCATAATTAAAGTAGAAAGAAAGGTAGAAAATGCAATTTTTTGTAACTACAACTTTTAACATTCAGGCTCTGCGCTGCTAAACACTTTTCTGTCTTGTGTGGGATATGAGCTGCCAGTGAATATTTTATTTTCATATAATCGATATGAAATCAGCTATTCCCTGCGCAAATGCAGACACTTTTTGTGTCCAGTTGCTTTGACTTAACACATACTAATCACCATGCAAGAAGTGTTCGGTGTAGGTAACTGGAAACTAAAAGTCCTCGGTTGAATACACACACACACACACACACACACACACACACACACACACACACACACACACACACACACACACACACACACACACACACACACACACACACACACACACACACACACACACACACACACAACACACACACACACACACACACACACACACACACACACACACACACACACACACACACACACACATAAACACGCGCGCGCGACGTAAAATATGCAACGGATTGTTATCAGTGACCAGAAGTAGCAACCGGCAACATAGCAATTACGGTTTCCTAAAGAAACATATGAATTCGACTAGGAGCGGCGATTTATCAACCACAACAGTAGCCTTGTGGTATCAACGTAAACAAGACGGCTCCGTAGCGCAGTGGCTTAGCAGTAAGTTGTTGCACCAAGGGCTGCGGGTCCAAATCCCGCACGGAACAAGTATTTGTATGGCCTACAAATAATTGTTCCTGGTCTGGATGTTTGTCCTTGTAAAATTTATGTATGTAAACTATCCCCACGATACAGTAGAAAATCCTAGTGCGGAGGTAACGTTTTTTAATAATAAAAAAAAAACAAAGAGAAGTTTGGGCTCCACGGACTTCATGTAAGAAAAGTGCTGGTAGATAGTCCCGTCACGGTTCTTTGAACGATGTTACCCGAAGAGCTCTTGTCTCTATAAATATTCCCCCGGTTTTAAAGCCTAATGGAATATTTAGTGACCATGGCAGGAAACCCGACGATATGACTTTGGTCAATTGGGAGAGACGTAAAGCTCTAGCGTGGGATGCTACTTGCGTAGACACTTAGGCAGTTTCTCAGGGGTACTTTTTTTTAGAGCCAGGACTGCATCAGAGACAGCTGAACTAAGCAAGTAACGTAAATATGAGTGTCTGCGAGATGTTTGTGTCATTTGTGACATTTGCGGACTATCAGTCCGTGGGTTCCACGTGCTTGAAGTTCCTAAAGCAACTGTATTCGCGTTTGGCCGTCGCTCCTGTAGATGAGATGACTTGTTCTTTACTCGCTCAAAGGCTAAGTAGGTATAGCCAATCAGCGAGGATACGTAGCCAACGTTCTTGATACTATACCGCGGGGAGTAGGACTGAATGTAAATATATGTTAATAAGTTTTTAGATTTAGTTTTTCTATTATGGTAATAAATATTATATATTTCAATAAATATTACAACATACAGCACTTTTTATATTATAAACAATCATAATCATTAACTCTTATATCTGTCACTTTGAGGGGTGAGCAGTGACTACACCTGCGTTTGTCAAAATCATGACACACATCTCTCGATTATTTTACATTACACAACATCTGCGGAGCATACACGCTCCTCGATTAAGAATGAGTACTTCTTATTTGCTCCTTTATAAAAGTAAAATAAAGTTGCAGCCTATTTACGTCCCACTGCTGGGCGCAGGCCTCCTCTCATTTCTGAGAGGGTTTTAGGGCAAGGAAATGTTCGCCGCGTTGCCCCAATGCGTGTTGGTTAACTTCACATGTCTTCGAAATATTTTTTTCTTATTTCTCAGACATGCAGGTTTCCTCACGATGTTTTCCTTCACCGCCGAGCATGTGGTAAATCAGCACTTAAAATTGCAATTAACAATTTTATTGGTGCCGGCGGGGATCGAACCTGGGTTGCTCGTGTACTGTGAAGCTTACAGCGAGCGCTAACCATCTGAGCTACCACGGCTCCTTTATTGGTATCGCCAATTTGATAAACTTTCGCCTCAGTCAAGGCTGTCCCTTGCCGCCTCTGCCACACTAATTCTTACACTATACGGGTTGCAAATTTGTACATAGGCTACAGCATCCATTTACCATCAGATGTACTGTTTATTGTGTTTGCCACCTATACAAAATAATCTATATAAATAAAACGACATAGGTTTGCAGTTGTGCGCGCATCACGAAAAAACTACTGGATAGATTTCAATTTGGTTTTCTAAGTTTTATATCTTAGACACTTGGCCCCAATCTAAATAAAATATTGCGATATCTTTACGTAATATAAAGTTATTAAAATTTTAAGAAACAACAATTTTTATAAGTATACTACGTGTTCAGTGAACATTATATGCAACGAATGACATTTTTTAGAAAGACATTTTGCAAGCAAAATATACCTATTTTTTTGTTTGCGATCTTTTTGATGTGTTTTCCCTCGCACATACGAAAACTTTGTTAATATATCAAACAACGCGGACTAAGTTGAGGGTATCAACTACGACCAAATAAAATTCGTACCTTGAGTCCAAGTGCGTCCCCAGCCGCTAGCCTGGAGCCTGATATCGTCATAGTCCTTGTCCATGTCGACAGATGACTGCAGCCTGACGGGCTGAGCTCGAGCTACAAAACAATAACGCCATTAAAAGATATAGGAAATACAGCTGTTTTATTAGATGTCGGAAATTGTTGTAATAAATTAAACGCTGTGTATGTGATCACAACTATGTATGTGATCATAAGTTCTAATCTCCAGTCGGACCAAAATTAGTCGGTTTTTCTGTCCACAAAGTTTCAATAGCAGCTTGGAGTCTGGAAGTTAGTGGTGTTGTACACCTGTACCTCGGAAATCATGTAAGGTAATTGGTTCTGTGCCTGATGCCTCCCCGGTTGTGTCCGATTGCTATCAAATCGAACTAATTGAGACTTATTTTAAAATTAAAACTTTGTACAACCGACTTCAATATGAGTTATAAAGAATAACTCAAAAACTATTGGTCTGACCTTGATCAAATTCATATGGGACCACACGAGAAGTACCAGCTTTCAAATAAAAAAAGAATCATCGAAATCGGTGCACCCAGTAAAAACTTATGAGGTAACACACATTAAAAAAACATACAGTCGAATTGTGTACCGTCTCCTTTTTGGAAGTCGGCAGAAAATAAAGTTGCACCTATGTTTGCACACGCTCGTGCACTATTATCATGTCTTGCGCAAATGGCTAGTTGTAAACTATCCGCCCTGACCGAAATTTGGTCTGGAGGACGTTATTATTCGGTCCATTTCAAAATAGTAAATAGGCTTTTGTTATGCCTAGTTTGTGAGCTTTGCTACCTTTGGCTACATCACCCCTAAAGATGTTAAAAATTAAATAAACGCTGAGGAAGAGAAGTCTTGGCGGTCAGCCATCGCAGAGTCTACTTCGTGTAGAGGCGAAACACGTGTCGTGTTGTCGACGGTGGTGGTGCTGGGATTAGTGGTGACGGGGACAGTGCACGCAATTCAGGGAGGGCGGGAGGTGCTCTTCAAACTAAGTAAGATACAATACGCACTGCACAGACTGTGGTAGAGCCACGTTGCACTGATATTATAGTTGTAGCACGAATGGATCGACTCAACCGGGGTTGGACCACGCTCTCACAGAATACCAACGTAAAATAGCAGTTTAATGCCTTTGTGTTTCGTATGGTGAGTGTAGAAAACCAAATAAACTTTTTACTGGAAACGAGGCATCCATCTCAGTCCTCAGTTGTGGCATTATTTCATTATTATAGTATTATACGGGGTTATTTATCAAAGAGTAGCCAAATTTTAAACTTAAGTTCAAATATATGAATAATGATATATACCGTATTTCAGTTTTAGAAAATACGAGTAACGAAGGCTTCTACATTTATTGGAAATTATCCCAAATTGGATGTGATTTATGGGCAACGTTTTTACCTACCGATCAACATTTACGTATATGTGCGTGCGCGCTAAAATCAGTTAAACTAAATTACCACGCATTTTGAATTTAAAAGATAAAAAGGACAGAATGTTAAACTTTTTTTTTAATTAATTTTTCTTTACCATTTGCTTATATTACTTATTTTGAACCTTCTTTGCAAATTTAGCCGGTTATTGCAAAATAACCCTGTATGGTAATATAGGCATTGATTCTTAATCAAGAAGTAATGTAGATGTATATGGATCACAGCATCCACTTACCATCAGTTGGACTATGTGTTCATTTGTCGGCCTTATTCTATAAACAAAAATTTTCAACAATGGTAATTTACGCTGGCATTCTGTGAGAGCGTAGTCCTTCCCCGGTCGAGCCGACCCATTCGTGCTACATCCATAATAAGCTGCAGCATGTCTCTACCATGAATCAATGAAAATGAGTAAGCGTGATCAAAATAAGCCTGAAGAACATCATAAAGAATACATTAAATACACTACAACTTGAAAGATAGCTTACGAGTGTATTCGATGAACCGATTGAAATATATAAGACCGATGTCATGGGGCTGAACCACCGACTGCAGAGCCTCGATGTACCACGGATGGTTGAAGTACGATGTAGTTTCGAAAATGCTCTCTGGTTTAGTGAGGTTCACCGTGCCGGTTCGGATCATGATCGACACACGTCTAGAAAGAAAATAACAAATTAAAATATAATATACACAGTTTTAACATGTTTTTTAGAAAATAAAATGATAATCTGCCACAGTGATACGCGCGGACTGATTAACAACCGAGATCTAAATCGCACTATCAAATTTTCTATAATGTATATACAAGCGCCACATTACCTCATTAGCTAGCCCTGCAGACGTTATTCTGCCCTTTCTAGCTAACGAAGTTGTATCTCACCAGTAACGCAAAGTCGGGAATTTGCATTTAGAAAATTCCAAAATTAGGGGGTTTTTTAGGTGCTAATTAGGTGCCAAGTTTAAAACTTAGGTGCTCTAAAATTTTCACCGCAACGAACGATTAAAATTTGCGATGCTGGCAAAACAATATACGATAAATATTAATAGCAAGGAATTAAATGTTAATTAGGTGCTGCAAGTATAGGCAATGACAAGGCGCCCCTAATAAAAATAAAGTAGTAATTCAGAACAAAGCAAATGCAAAATTCAGGTTTTCTGAAAATCAGAATAGAATCAAAAATGCTTTTAGGAAAACCCAAAATTAGAAGCTTTTCAGGTGCTAATTAAGTACCAAGTTTATTTTATTTTATTTATTTATTATTGGACAACACAACAGACTACATCATGACTTAAAGCTATAACTTACAATAATAATAGTGTAATACAAGACATAATCCTTATACGTGTTATCACGGCATGCCAAGATTGAGAAACAAACATTTTAAATAAAATTGCTTAAACTAACAGGCTCATAAATCCAACAAATTAAGAACTATAATTTTAGTGAATATCAATCAAAGGGGATGTCCTTGAGAATGCCTTTCAAAACATTTCTAAAGTCAACCAGACTAGAGTTGAAGATGTGAAGGTTGGTAAAGGTAAAGGTTTAAAAATTAGGTGCTCTAAAACTTTCACAAACTGTTGAAAATTTTAGTGCACCTAATTTTTAAACTTGGCACCTAATTAGCACCTGAAAAGCCTCTAATTTGGATTTTTCTAAATGAAAATTCCTGATTTTGCGTTGCTGGCGATACACAACTAGCTAACGACGAGTTTCAGATTCACACACACACACACACACACACACACACACACACACACACACATTTCTATAGACTATTATTGTACGTATAGCTAAATCCTCTTTATGACTAACAAAACTACTATTCAATCATTATGAAAATTAACAAAAAAACAAAGGAAAACCATAACATTTCATTTTTACTCTTCCTTAAACGGATAAAAAGTTGCCTATATGTTATACACGATGATTTACTTCCTATGTACCAAATTTCATGGAAATGCGTCCGGTTGTTTTTGCGTGAATCACCAAGTCAAATTTTTCTACGAGTTTAATATAATATGGAACATTGGCCTTACCCCAAGCTAAAGTACCTCATCTTTTACTAATGGAAATAAACAATTAAAAATGACATTTAAAAAGGCACAATACGGGTATTGCTAAAAAATGTACATAAAAATGTTTCGCCTCAAATTGGTCTCAAATTAGCACAATGTGATGATTTGTAAACAACCTTTGTTGGTTTTCCGTTAGAACTGTCCGGTAATATCACAATTCAGATCTACATCAGCCTGATAAATGTAAATATTTGTATGATAGTGACCTAAATTAATACTTTACAGTTTATATGTGGATACTAGCTGTTCCTCGCGATTTCGCCCGCGTGTTATTTGGGGTTTTAATTTTTATGCGGGGAACCCTAATTCTTTTTCTTTTTCTTAAATAAAGTTAAGTTAAAGCCTAAGTTACTCCTTGTGACATCATCTATCTGCCAGTGAAAATTTCGTCAAAATCGGTCCAGCCGTTTCGGAGATTAGCTGGAACAAACAGACAGACAGACGGACAGACAGACAGACAGTAGGACACAAACTTAAAAATTGTATTTTTGTTATTAGTACCGTATATACTTTCATATGCATTTAGTAAAAAGCTGTAATTTTGACATTACAAACAGACACTTCAATTTTACTTATTTGTGTAGATAATATTTTACGTTATATTATTTTATGCAACGTCAATTTCACACTGATAATAATAGATGGAGTAACGATCTGTTAAGAGATGCAGGAAGTCGATGAATGCAAGTGGCTTAGGACCCTGCTACAATACTTGTGGAATGATGATGGTGATGAGTGACCTAAATATGTGTGTTACATAGAAAAGAAAAGGAAATAATTTAAAAGCACAATATAAAACTAACAAATAAAATAAAACTAACGAATATAGTAGATAGATAAAGTAGATGTTGGCAAGAACTGTTATCCTAAAATAGAATAGAATGATTTTTATTCAATATTGATTATTACATAATACTTATTGAAAGCCATTTTTTTATTTACCACTAGTTCGGAAAATATCTCTGTTTTGGGAAGAACCAGCAAAAAACCCAGCGGCACTTTTTTTAAAATATTTCACTTTACAATAATTTTGTTTGTACAATTTTTAAATGAATTTTAATAGAACCGCGATAGAGGCGATCACCTCCTTCTCAGGGATTATTAGTTATATATTCTATATGTATTCTTTAATATTATAATAAATAAACTTTTTGTATAATTCTTTAATAAAACATTTAAACTTGTTTATTGACAAATTTTGTACATTTCCTGGGATTTTGGTATAAATGTAAACACATTGCCCCATTATCCCGCTTTCAATATCTAACTATGAGTGTGGTAAAGAATGCACGTTTGCATTTTTCAAATATCAGGTAATGTAGATTTACTGATAGACATATTTATCGCAGCTAATCTAATATCTAATATCTATTATGTATAATATTGTGTAGGTTAACGTTATATATCCATATCTAAAGAAGTTATATTTATCGCAACCTTCTGCATTGAATTTTTAACTGCTAATTATTTTGTTAATTTTATCTATACTATCTGGCATATACTGCCTAACTAAATTTATTGTACTCAAAATATGTCCACTGTAAAAATAGAGAACACATCTACGATGTCTGCAATATTTAAAATGTCATACTAAAATATTTAAGTAATTCGGTGGTCTTTTTGTGTTTTCGGTACTAGAATATCTTTTAATATATTTGATTAACGATATCGCAGCGCATAAAATATAAACAAATAAACAAAATATTTTATATATTAATATTTTTAGTAGTAAAACTGCTAAACTAAATTCAACGTAACGATAATTTTATTTTATCAGGATACTTATATCTATATATCCACTATCCCATACCGTCCCGTGCTTGTCGTAAGGGACGGCAAAGTGAAATGAAACAAGTAGGCTTGGGCAAAAAATATCGATATATCGAAATATCGTTATTTTTTTAATAAAAATATCGATATATATGGTCTATATTTTAAATCGCGATATATCGATATTTATTTTAGAGTATCCAATTCGTATCAATGTCGATATATTTTAAAATGTTGTAGCCTTTTTTTACGTCGTCCAACCGTCAGTAAATAAAATTTTGGACATGCTGATGATGACGATATATCGATATATCGATACTTATCACGCGATATATTATATCAATACTGTTTAAAAATATAGATTCGATATTTATCGATATATTTTTTCCCTTGCCCATCCCTAGAAACAAGACATGATCAGGAGTATAGTTATTCTATTTCACGATGGAGTTTTGACTTTGGTTGTTGTTGGTGGAGCGCTCCCGAGACCTACGCACACTAACATAATGTATACACATTGTGTATACACATTGTGTATACAGAAATTATTTAAAATAATAAAAACTGCCGTTGTCACTCCGCAGCTATCGCAAATATCCTCGTTATGAGGCCATCTATGAGGGCGGAGGATCATCAGCAGTGGACTTTTGATAGGAAGTAATTAATGAATGATGAACTCTATGAAAGGACAACTCTTATTTTTTTTTATAGGATAAGGGTGACAAACGAGCACACAGTCCACCTGATGGTAAGTGGTTGCTGCGGCCCATAGACATCAACATCTATCCTCTATTACAAAACAAACTGCAGACGCGTTGTCACCCGTGAGGACTAAGATGGAATGCCTCGTTTCCAGTAAAAAGGGTCTCCGGTTCTCTACACTCACCATACGAAACACAGCAGCGTTAAGCTGCTATTTTACGCTGGTATTCTGTGAGAGCGTGATCCTTCCCCGGTCGAGCCGACCCATTCGAGCTGCAACTATACTACTAATATAGCTGCAGCATGGCTCTACCACGTCTGAAAACTTTCAATTAAATTTATGACAGCTGTAAGCAAAGTTAAGAAAGTATTTAAGACAACTTGCTCGGCGAAGGAATCACACGTGCCCAAGAGCACTCGGTAATTTCTATTTGACTAACTATCTGCCCCGGATTCGCAAGGGTTATCCAAAAATGTGAATCTAAACCATCTAGGGACCCGTTCAAAGATACACAAAAAAAAATTCATCAGAGTTTTAGCGAGACTTACGTACAACAATTAATTTTTAAATATAGAGATTATTATATTTAAAATATATTTAGGTATTCAGGGCAGTGAAATAATATAAAAATTAACAAATTAATTACTCAATCCCGCACGGAACAAGTATTTGTATGGCCTACAAATGATTGTTCCTGTGATGTTTGTCCTTGTGAAATTTGTGTTTGTAAACTGCCTCTATGATACAGGAGAAAATCCTAGTGTGGGGGTAACGTTTTTTAAAACAATAACAATAACCTTGAAACGATAAATTCATTACGCTTTCTCACATGTACCTAATACTAATTATTAACGATAGTATTAAAATATCTATCAAGTTTATTGATAAACAACATTTGATAATTAATCATATACCTTATCCAGTATTTCCGGCGATAAATATTTTTGTAGTATGCCTAATTATGTTATAATGTAGGTGCAGCGTTGCTCCACCACGTAGAGTACCACCACTTAGACTTGGGCAACCCCTCTACATGAAGTAAAGACCCCATAAAACATGCAATGAGTCGGTGGATGCAGGTAAATAGGCGCTATCCTTTGTGCTAATCTATAAGGGAGATCTATGTTCAGCAGTATAGACTTGTAATGGGATGTAATGGTGATAATGAAAAAAAAATTAAGCGGTCAATTAACTTCGGTATGAAATTTCTTTCAGTTTTCTTCTTCTTTGATTGAGGAGTAAGTAAAGTGCCGGTATCAAGTAATTGTTTTTTTTTTTCTTTCGCTTAACTCAATGATATTATAAGTAACCTTTTTACACATAATATGATTGTATTATATGGCCGTGGTTATGCAAAAAGGATCCAACCCTAAAATTAAAGCTAATTTGAGGTTATGAAATTTGAAGCATGGATATGTATGGCTTGTGTTTGTGTTTGTAATTTTTGTTCTTATTTGTGTTACTTTCGCTAAAATTGTTGCATCACATAATAGTATAGACCACAAACATTATTTTTCAACTGAACATTTTTGACACAAATTACATTGGATCCTTTTTGCGTAACTATGTCCATATAACTATGATGTTTAGTTATTTGTATTAAGTTTTAAATATTGACACGACTATAAATGTTCAAAGCAATATTCTCTACGCAGATTTCAGCACAGCCTTCTTTGTTTGAAGTTGCCCAGGGACTAAAGTGGTCACTTAGCATCAGGTGGTAAGTTCGTTTGTCACTTCAGTTTTATATAAAAAAAGACAATATGTTTGAGAGGCAAATTACCTCGAACATAACCACGCTTCACTCTACGTCCACACATTCAACTAGCACGGACAAAAGCGCGTTAACTTTACACTGAGCTCTTAAGTGATTTGCTACAACTAGCCCGAATTCATTTAAAAAGGATTGCATACAAATGAGAACTCAACATTAGTTATTATGTATACCTAATATTAGAGATAATAACTTAAATTGAAAATATTAAAAACGCCAAAACAAAAAGAGTTGATGATCTTCAAACGGCTGAACAAATTTTTTTGATACGTAGCTAACAACACTCTCGATTAAGACATCTTTCAAACGAAAGAAAACGCAATCAAAATCGTTTAATCCGTTTAGGAGCTACGAGTATGACGCCACAGATAGACACACAAATATACAGATACACACTACAAATTTATAACACCCCTCTGTTTTCTTCGGGGGTTAAAAAAAACTTAAAAAAAACTTTGTCATAAAATTATTGTACTGTCAGCGGCTCTTAAATACGTCAGCAAAATTTCCGAATGTACAGACGTCTGAAATTGGCTGAATAGTAACTAAATTTTTTAACATCATTAGGTTTTTTTTACATTTTTTACATTTTAGGGAGATGTGCCTTTTTAAATTTCCTAATAAACAATATTTTAAATTAAATGTTTTATAAAATGTAATAATACATTACATTTCATTAAATTAATACACACAAACATATAGGCCAAGCTGTTTAGTATTCTTACGTAGCAGTGCAGTGAGCAGCAGTCAACGCCCATTGGTGATGAATGATAGAGCCTCCACAGGCGCTGACGCCTCCGACCTGACTGACCATCCTCAGCGAGATCTGGTAAGGAATTTGGCCTTCTTCTGCCTCCCATCCTGACACAATTCGTGTGTTTTCTGCGAAAAAAGTAACTTCGTTTCTATAACTTATAGGGCGTTGGATATACTAAATATAATCTTGTGAAATTCAACGTCTCCAAAACACAAACATGTCTTTTCGCTGCAAAAAAAGCCAGCTCACCTTGGCTCAATCTTTGCGTAATGTATTCCCTTGTCAGTCTCCTATAGGATGCATTTCCTTTAATTCCTCCCTCTCCTTTCCACCATCGGACAAACCAGGCGGTCGGCGGGTCTTCACCGCTTTGTTGTCGATATTCCACGCGTACTTAATGCGTCCAGCAAAGGCGTGGGATAATTTGCCAGCGTCTATCTTTCCGTCCGAATACAATCTGGGCGTCGTCAATGCAAGAATAAATAGGTTTTTCTTATGCTAAGATAGTGCAATCTACCATCTAAGGCTGCATTACAATTACCACCAGGTGGGGTGTGGTCAAGCACTGGCTTATAATAAGTAAAAAAATGTATCACAGAAATACACCGACCGCCTTTAGTAGTTGGAAGTTGTTTCTAGAACCTGAACTTTGGATGGCCTATTGAGTTAAAGACCAAATGAAGTTATGTTAGGTGAAATTGGAAGAACGCCATATTAAGGCGAGGAAGGAAAACTTTTGGATGGTAAAATCATAATGTCAAGTTTTGCGGATCTGGCACACCGGATTTTTTTTTATAGGATAGGGTGACAAACGAGTACACAGTCCACCTGATGGTAAGTGGTTGCTGTGGCCCATAGACATCTACATTTATCCTCGTTTGCGAATCAAAATGCAGATGCGTTGTCACCCGTGAGGACTAAGATAGAATGCCTCTTTTTCAGTAAAAAGGGTCTCAGGTTCTCTACACTCACCATACGAAATTTGGTAAATAAATAAATAATAAATAATAATAAGTAAATACGGATTTGATTGCCTCGTAGGTCTAGTTGTCGTAAACGCGGCTACAGATCATGTGATCCCAGGTTCGAATCCAGGTTCAGGCCAGTGCCAGTTATTAGCTTTTTTATAGGATAAGGGTGACAAACGAGCACACAGTCCACCTGATGGTAAGTGGTTGTTGTGGCCCATAATCATCTACATCTATCCTCAAAGATGAATCAAAATGCAGGTGCGTTGTCACCCGTGTGCCTCTTTTCCAGTAAAAAGGGTATCCGGTTCTCTACACTCACCATACGAAACACAGCAGCATTAACCTACTATTTTACGCTGGTATTCTGTGATAGCGTGGTCCTTCCCCAGTCGAGCTGTACCATTCGTGCTACAATTATACAAGTAATATAGCTGCAGCATGGCCCTACCACGTATAAAATAGCTTTTTCTATCAAGAAATTAAGCACGTAAAACCGTTGGTACTGCGCCAGATCTCTCTCCAATAGTGTCGGTTTTCCGTCCCATTGGACTATTAGAGTGAGGGATCAGAGATGCCACTCTATGTGGTACTGGGGAAGCCCTGTGTTCAGAAGTAGGCTTAAGTAGATAGGTTGTAATAATGAGGAAAGTTACTAATCTTTTTTCAAACTCAAAGGTTTGAATTTTTTTTCAACAAACTGAACTAAAGACGAGACATTGTGATAGCCACGCAGATAGTAAGAATTCTAGGAAAACAAGTTTTTTTTTATAAAACCTGAAGAGACAAACAATCTACCACATACAAAAAAAATTCGCTGTATATATGTATATATGCGACAAGGGGTAGTGACGAAAAAATTTTACACTTTTTATCGCCTAGCTCCCATCCGCCAAACCCGTACCGTCCGATAAGGAACTTCGTTCCAATAAGATGAGACATTTTTTATAAAACTGAAGTGATAAATGAACTTACATTCCACATGATGGTGTGTGGCTAAAGTCCATGAACAACTGCAGCCAACATCAAACAAAGAAGGCTACTGATGCGTTATCACCTCTGATGACTAAGATGGAATGCCTCACGGCCTTAATTAAACTGGTTCTCAATACCTTTCAGACCGGAACAAAGCAGTGCAGGAACCAGGCACTGATATTTGAAGGCAGAAATGGGTGAGAGGGAGGTATGGTACATGGAAAAATTATCCTGAAGCTTTCTTTGTTGCTGGTTGTCCAGAGGCTTCAGTAGTAATTTACAGTCATATGCGATTTACGTGGTAGAGCCATGCTGCAGCTATATTAATAGTATAGTTGTAATACGAATGGGTCGGCTCGAACGGGGAATGACTACGCTTTCACAGAATACCAGCGTAAAATAGCAGCTTAATACTGCTGTGTTTCGTATGGTGAGTGTAAAGAACCGGAGACCCATTTTACTGGAAAAGAGGCATTCTATCTTAGTCCTCACGACTGACAACGCATCAGCATTTTAATTCGCAAACGAAGATAGATGTTGATGTCTATGGGCCACAGCATCCACCTACCATCAGGTGGACTGTGTGCTCGTTTGTCACTCTCATTCTATAAAAATAAGATGCTACAGTAGTCATTTATAGGCAGATCTATAATTTTCCAAAATAATTCAGTTTAACTATCAATTATTGAGATTTAATTATCTGCATCCAAATAAGACCATTATTGCTTACCGATAACAATACATTCCATCTTCCTCCTCAGAGGAGTGACAACGCATCTACATTTTGATTCTAAATCGGGGATTATCTAGGTATCTAGTGCTACAGTTTTCACTTATTATCGGGTGGACTGTTTTTGTTTGCCGCGCTTAATTGTAAAAAAAAAACAATTATTTAGTACAAGTTACATACCTCCTCCTCTTACATTCTCCAGAAATGTCACCTTATGTTCAGCAAGTGCCTGTTAAATAAAATATAGTGTTTAGCGTCGTTTACTGATACCAGTTGATAATAATTAACTAATATTTTCATAAACGTTTATTAATCATATATACGAATCCATTTAAGCTATATTTTGTTCAATATTATGTTTTTTTTTATTTATTTATTACAACAATTACATTACCACAGAAATTATCGCGCGATGATCTTTCAGCGAGTACAAGCTCATAAGAGCTATTTATGAGATATATAAAGTTACCTGCTACAAATAGAATTATTATATACAAAAAAAAAATAAAAAAAAACAAAAGCTACTACTTACTTACAATACAAAATATTAGAAAAAAACAAAACCAATCAATGTATGTGTACCGTATAGGTACATAAATAGTTACTAATGACCTCTTAACTATTTTATTTCGTTATATAAATGTATATATATTCTAAATTATTTTATATACATTTTTTTTTCTTTTTAAGAAGTTAATTCTCTTTTTTTTTAAATGTAATAAATCAAACGCTGCTAATATGTTTTTTTTTTTATATAGAATAGGGGGCAAACGAGCATGCGGCTCACCTGATGGTAAGTGACTACCGCCGCCCATGAACAACCGCAACACCAGGGGAATTGCAGATGCGTTGCCGGCCTTTTAGAAAGGTGTAAGCTCTTTTCTTGAAGGTTCCTAAGTCGTATCGGTTCGGAAAATTCGCTGGTGGTAATTGATTCCACAAACAAGTTGTGCGAGGGAGAAAACTTGTAGTAATGTGTTTTGAATTTACAGTCTGTTAATCCAATCTTGAATATTGTTTCATAAGATTTGTTTAAATTATTAACAATCGACTACGAAAATAATCGATTATCAACATTAATACCATTTACGTAATTTTTTTCGGAAACTTGTATCTAACAGAAGATTGTTGAATAGAAATGTCTCTCAAGTTGAAAGTTATGATATACGCCCTGGTAGTACACTACCTAATAGGGCATGCAGAAAGATGACCTGGTAGGACATGCAGGAAGTCGATGGATGCAGGTGGTTGTTGCAGTCTCTGGATGAAGCCTACATTCAGCAGTGGACTTTAATAATGATGATGATGATAAATTTAATTTCCAAGTTAAATACAGTAAGCCACAGTAAATTCTCGCTAGCAGACGTACTGGTGAGGACACAGCCATACGATTTGCATGATATCATGTAAACTTTTGTTCATACATTCATTTATTTATTAAAGTCTATCAAAAGTCCACTGCTGGACACAGACTCATGACTGTATCAGAGATAATAGTTGCCATAGGTGCCACTCTTGGCAGACGGCTTCACGACCGCAGTTTTTTAATATTTTGAGTTGTGATCAGCAAGATGCTGCTGCCCATCTCCCCTATCATTTCCATCTGGACTCCTACGACGCCCACTAGATGATATGGGGTAGTGGACTGCGGACAAGTGCCTGCCCTAGTGTTCCAAAGATTTGGCTTCTGCGGTTCGAATTCTAACACACCAGTTAAGTACCGAAAGGCATACATTATTGTGTTAGTTATGGATTTCTCTATGTCTTTGATACTTTTTTTAATAAAAAAACGTTTCCCACACATGAGGCGTTTTACATTTACAAATTTATCAAGGACACACATCCAGGTCCGTATTTTCAAAGTTGTAGGCCTTACAAAAACTTGTTTCGAGCTGGATTCAATCCTCTGGCCCTGGAGTGTCGCATATATACGTGGTAGAGCCATGCTGCAGCTATATTAGTAGTATAGTTGTAGCACGAATGGGTCGACTCGACATGGAAAGGGCCACGCTCTCACAGAAAACCAGCGTCAAATAGCAGCTCAATGCTGCTGTGGTTCGTATGCTGAGTGTAGAGATCCGGAGACCCTTTTTACTGGAAACGAGGCATTCCATCTTGTTCCTCACGGGTGACGAGGCATCTGCATTTTGATTTGTAATCGAAGATAGATGTTACCATCAGGTGGACTGCGTGCTCGTTTTTCACCTTTAGCTTGTTTAGCTTTAGATATAGGGTAGACTCGAAAAACTATTGTAAGACGATTTCGGGCGGTGGCAGTCTCGCAATAAACGTGGAACAATTAAGAGTGTCTTATTTCGCAATAAAAAAAAAAACACTAAGCCATTGCGCTAATTAACTGTCAAGCTGAGCTTCGATACCACGTCACATTTGCACCTTTATCAAATATTATATCCGTATCGGATACTACGATACCAGAGTATAACCTCAGAAGGTTTACGCACTCTCCGTCTCTAATCACAGGGAGGGCCTGAACATAGGTACCGCCTGGTGTTGCGGTTGTTCATGGGCGTCACTTACCTTCTATAAAAAAAGCGCGCTATAAAATAGCATTATTACTACGACTTCACATATTGATTACTTGTAGATTTTTTAAATATATTATAATTAAAACTAAACCCCAGTATACCACTGCAAAATCTCAAGACACAGTAAGCTCATTCTGCGTAGATCGGACCAAAAGTAATAATTATAAAGCTGACGCTACTCAGGGTTAACTGACCATGAGTTCTGGAAAGTACCCGAAACGTTGAGAATTAAAAATGAATAAATTAAATGCGATAAAAACCGTAAAAAATAGTTTTATTCAATGTGCAGTGTTTGCGTAATTTTGAAAAAAAAATTTGGAGAGATTAGACATGAGCCTCCATGTATTATGTAAGTCGACAGTTTTCGCCAATTTATTATGAAATCAGCTCTATGTACGTCACCATTGATAATTAATAATCTAAAATATGTTTTGTGGGTATTTAGATATCAAAATAGATAAGTAAAATTGGTGACGTGTTAGCTCAAGGGCTAAGTTCTAAGCTCTAAACCCGGATTCGATCGCCGCCGGCACCAATTAAATTAATTTTTTAATAGTTTAAGAGTGATTAATGAGCAGACTGTCCACTTAATGGTAAGTAAATGCTGTGGCCCAAAGACACCTACATCTATCTTTATTTAGAATCAAAATGCAGATGCATTGTCACCTTTGAGGACTAAGATGTTTTCAGTTCAAGTTGTGAAAATACAGCAGTATTAAGGGGCTATTTCACACTTGTATTCTGTGAGAGCGTGCTCCTTCCCCGATCGAGCCGACCCATTCGTTCTACAACCATAATAGCTGCTGCGTGGCTCTACCATGTAAAAAATCCTCCCAATAAGGCAATCTTTGGGGGAAGATATATATATATATTTACATGGTAGAGCCATACTGCAGCTATATTAGTACTATAGTTGTTGCACGAATGGGTCGGCACAACCGGGGAAGGACCATCTTTGGGGGAAGATATATATATATATCCATAGATGCCACGCTTTTTTATTTTAAGTCGTTATTAGTACGACGCTGCCCATCTCCTGATTTGTTTCCCTCTGTCGCGTCTTACGGGGCCACTTATAGGATGATATGAGGTAGTGGATAGTCTTTCACCGCCACTACAGGGCATATTATCCATTAGTTGTTAATTAATAAGTAGATTGTTATTTTTGATGCTTTCATTTACGTTTTTTGATTCTCTAAAAAATTCCTCAAACTCGCGATACCCATAGTCTCATACTCTAACACGGCTGCGCTCATCGCATATTGTAAATTTAAAATATAAATTAACATATTCCATAAAAAAGTTATTTTTATACAAACTGATAATTACAAATGAATTAAAATAGAAATAAATCAAAAAAAATTTACCAAACTCCCGGACACGGCCAGCAAAAACACTGCAAGACTCCAGGCCGCCATCTCTAACACGAATGAACCCAAATTTTAATTCATACCTTACATTATACACAGTTATTAATTGATAAGCGATGTAGATTAATTGATAACATCTAAATCAGTCTAATCCTTACACGAAAAATACCTAATTACAATTGATATATTTCCTGTGTTTATCTAAAGTTATATATTATTATTTTTATAAATCTATCTATGCATTATATATTTTAGCTATCTTTTGCCTTCAGCTTCTACCGAATTTCCGTAATTTTCCAGGGTAGCTTAACAAACGTCTATTCTCTCTCCCCTTGAAGACACCCACATTGTAATCGGTCGGAGAGATAGTAATAAGTTATACTCAGAGTCGGATTAAATATCGACAGCGGCTTAGGCTAGCACGGCGCCCCTCTAGCGCTCATATATTATAAAATATAACTACCCATTTTTTTATAGCAGAGGGCGCAAACCAGCATGCGGCTGACCCGATGGTAAGTGATTACCGCCGGCTATGAACAACTGCAACACCAGGGGAATTGCAAATGCGTTCCCGGCCTTTTAAATAGGACTCTTTTCTTAAAGGTCCCTAAGTTTTTTTTTATAGGATAAGGATGACGAACGAGCTCACAGTCCACCTGATGGTATACATAGACATCTACACCTATCCTCGATTACAAATCAAAATGCAGATGCATTGTCACACGTAAGGACTAAGATGGAATGCCTCATTTCCAGTAAAAGGGGTCTCCGGTTCTCTACACTCATCACCACTCACGAAACACAGCAGCGTTAAGCCGCTATTTTACGCTGGTATTCTGTGAGAGCGTGGTCCTTCCATGTCGTGCCGACCAATTCGTGCTACAACTATACTACTAACATAGCTGCAGCATGGCTCTACCACGTAAAAAAGACCTTAGGGTTCGTATCGGTATAGTTTATTTTGCTAATAAACTATATTATAGTTTATAATATAGTTTATAGTTGCAAAATAATTAGGACACTAGTACCCTTAACAGATGCGCGTTAATGAAAAATGTGTTGAGAGAGTTAGAGCGATGTAGGTCTGAGTAATCTAATTTTTCTCGTTTTAAAACTTCTGCGTGCGCCCCTTTTTAACCTTGCGCCTCTAGGCACGTACCTAGTTTGCCTTAAGGATAATCCGCCACTACTGCTACTACAAACCGTTCGGTACGAATGGGTGGTATCTCACCAACAAAGTAAACATCATCTAACTAAATAGGTGATAGCGATAGTGGTTGTGGTGGTAGTCATTCTACTCTCTTAGGTACCTATCCCTGCCAAGCTGTACTCCAAACTCAATGTTGTAGCAGTGGCCAGGCTTTATAAGTGAAGGCAATAAATTAAAAAAAAATATAAGACGTAAATTTTTCGGATAAAAGTATTGGTTTTATATTAAGTAATGACTAACTCTATTCTAAAAATTTCGAATTAATGAGTTTTCGACTTAACAAGAACTACGAGTTTTTTTTTTCTCAAATATAAGTAAACTTAAAGTATCGATGTGTTACTTCAATGATCATATTCATTCATTTGTTATACAAAGTATGCACAATTGAACAAAAGCAACAAACATTTTTGGATTTTATTGCTATGAGCTCGGGGAATTCCAAGTAAGACGTCATTATATTTTACTAATTTTGACTTACAGAGTCTGCTTTTTGAAATATACAATATTTTATTATATACAATATTTAAAAACAACTAATAACTTAATTATTATACAGTCCTATTCCCCGTAGTATCGTGCCAAGAACGCTGGCTGCGTTTCCTCGCTGAATGGCTTTACTTAGCCTTTGAGCGAGAAAAGAACCAGCCCTCTTCTCTCACCAGCAGCAACGACCAGTCGCGCATAGATTTCCTATAGGAACTTCACCGCACGTGGACCCCATGGACCGATAGTCTCTACTGCAAATGGCACAAATATGTAGTCATCTCTCAGTGACTCTTATTTGCGCCACTTAGTCAGTTCAGCTGCCTCTAATGCCGCCCCGGCTGTAAACGAGGTATATTCCCTTTGAAATTCGAGTTATAGAGCATAAATATGTACTATGATTTTTTATAGCAGAGGAGCAAACGAGCATGTGGCTTACCTGATGGTAAATGACTAGCGCCGCCCATAAACAAATGCAACCCTAGAAGAATTACAGATGCGTAGCCGGCTTTTTAAAAAGAGTAGGCTCTTATATTACCTTGAAGGCTCCTAAGTTGTATCTATAATGGAAAAATCTCTGGTAGTAGTCGATTCCACAAGGAAGTTATGCGAGGAAGTAAACTGCAAATCGCACTGGTAGACCGCCAATCATCGAGATTTCACTGTAGTATAAAGAGTGAAACTGAAAGACTGACCCCCTTCTAATCGAGAAGGAATCCGATCCGACACACACACACACACACACACACACACACACACACACACACACACACACACACACACACACACACACACACACACACACACACACACACACACACACACACACACACACACACATTTAAACGCTAAACTAGCGTTAGCTGCCGAACGCGAGGTTACAGGTATACCCGTGAATCGGGGTGTTTTTTGTTTTTCGACCCGTTTCCCACAATTCGATAGTGGTTCAAGCCGAGGTTCATAGCTCCTTCTGAGGAGGCCTTGAAACACATCGAGACCCCCCCCCCCTCCTCCCCTAGTTCGAGGAGCCTCACTTCAAAAGCAGGGACCGGGGTGCCTCGGGACTGCAGCCGGCTACTTTGCCGACAGAGTCGTTAGCTCGAAGGTCCTTACGAGTCTATTTCAATGAAGTTGTAAAGGCCGCAAGACAAACAGCATACTCTTTCCGAAAAGAAAGACTATCATCTAGCATCTGCAGCCTTTACATTTTAAGTTGGCTATATTTGTCCATGGATTGCAGTATCTATTTATGATTAGGGGACTGTAAGTTCATTTGTTACTTCAGTTTTATAAAAAAAAAGTAACGAGCAGCGAACACTGTTGCAATGATTTTTTTTATATGAGAAGGATGACAAACGAGCGCACAGTCCACCTGATAGTAAGTGGTTGCTGTGGCCCATAAACATCTACATCTATCCTCGATTACAAATCAAAATGCAAACGCGTATTTTCCCGTAAAAAGGGTCTCCGGTTTCGTTCACTCACCATACGAAACACAGAACTGTGTCTCGCCAGCAACGCAAAGTCAGGAATTTGCATTTAGAAAAACCCAAAATTAGGGACTTTTTAGGTGCTAATTAGGTTAAAGTTGACAAAAAATTACTTTGCGTACATCCGCTCGATAAAATAAAATGATGTGTCTTACCTAGTTTGAAGAGCACCTCCCGCCCTCCCTCAATTGCGTGCACTATCCCCGTCACCTTTAATCCCAGCACCACTATTCCCAACACCACTACACTAGGAAAGACACACCACTGACGACAATACGACACGTGTTTCACCTCTACGCGAGGCATCCTCAGGTGATATAGACTCTACGGTGGCTAACCGCTAAGTGAGCGGCGAGTCAAAACAACTGCTATTTATACAGACCGCAGATGCAACTGCTCTCTACTTAAGGAGCGACCGACTGCATCATGCGATAAAACATGCGACCAATCATCGCCGGACTTACGCAGGCGTTTGTTAAATTAAAAACAAACTGCCTTGCAACGCCCGCCTACCCTCCAACCACGCAACCAATAGCCGATTACCGTGAGGGTGGCAAACGACCATATTGCGAGGCTCTCTAATAATACGACGAATCTTACGACTTAACAATAACAAGAAAAGAATCGTCACATGTTTTCCAAATTTATCGAAAGCCAACTCATACCGACACGGTCATCCCCGCGTCATCGTGTCATCCGTGGCAACATAAAGTAACCGCTTTTTATTGTTACATTAACCGTTTGTTCACTGTCCCATTAAGTAAAGAAAATTATTTAAAATAACTTAATATAATTTATCAAATAGCGGTCTCTAACGGTTTTTCAAAAAATCTCGTTAACAAATTAATTAAAAAGAAACAAAAGCATGTTGTTCGCAACTCTCTGTACGCGGTTCAACCTCAAAGTGTTCATCGATATGTGAGCAGTTTGACCTACTTGGGCCCCATATCTGAAAAAGTAGCTAAGACTCTTCAACAAAACGGCGTTTAAGTGACGTTCAAAAGAAACTATTCTCTTAGAAATATCTGTAATAATAAAGATAAGTTGGATATTCGTCAAAAGTCAGGTGTTTACAAACTTGTTTGTGACGAATGCCACGCCGTTTACGTGGGTCAGACTGGTCGCAATTTCAAGACACGTTATAAAGAGCATTTAGCCGCATACAGGAATTGCAATCCCGATAAATCCCATTTTACCAAACATCTTTTGGACACAGGACACAACCTAACCAACGACCACTCCTTTAAAGTCTTATATACGTGTAATAAAGGGCTGCGGCTGTGTGTGCTGGAACAGTTAGAGATATTAAAAAGTAATAATAGTAACGTTGCACTGCTGAATGAACAAACAAATGTTACTAACTCACCTCTCTTAAATATCTTTAAGCCTGCTCTCTAATAATAGAGAGCCTTTTTCTTTTTTTCTTTTTTTTTATAGTATAAGGGTGACAAACGAGCACACAGACCACCTGATGGTAAGTGGTTGCTGCGGCCCATAGACATCTACATCTATCCTCTGTTAGAAATCAAAATGTAGATGTGTTGTCACCCGTGAGGACTAAGATGGAATGCCTCATTTCCAGTAAAATGGGCCTCCGGCCACCTGCACTCACCAAGCGAAACGCAGAGGTAAACCTCTACTTCACGCTGGTTTTCTGTGAGGTCGTGGTACTACCCCGGTTCGAGCCGGCCCATCCGTGCGACAGCAAAAGTTGCCGCGTGGGTCTTACCACTGTTAAAATAGCCTCGTTTATATATGGTCGTTTGTCACCCTCAAGGTGATCGGCTATTTAGTTGGTTATGAATATCTGTGGTTTGGTTTATTTATTTTTAATGTTATTAATATAAAATATAGCTAATAGTACA